ATACCACACTTTGAGATATGATTTATAATTTTACATTTATCGATTTTTGACCATATATAGGGTAAAATTATAAGAAAAAATGAAAGTCAAAGGATAAGGAAATTTATTTTACCACGTAGATATAAAAAAAAATAAGCAACTTTAAAAAAAGAATCGTCTCTAAAAGATATTCGAGGCAAAAGTTACGGTCATTTGAAATTTTACCAAATGTAACGTAAAATTCAAGCGGACATAAATCGTGCCTACAATGTCCGATCAAGTGATTTTTTTTCAATATAATTATTTTTTGATATCTACGCAAAAAAATACTACATACTAAGATATGATTTATAGTTTTATATTTATCGATTTTTAACCATATATATGGTAAAATTATCAGGAAAAAATAAAAGTCAAATTGGATAAGGAAATTGAGCTTACCCCGTAGATAAAAAAAAGCAATTTAAAAAAAAGAATTGCCCATAAAGATATTCGAGGTAAAAGTTACGGTCATTTGAATTTTCACCAAATGTAACGTGAAAGGGGTAATTCTGAATTTTTGAACTCCAAACGGACATAAATTGTGCCACTGATGTCGGATCGAGGCGATTATTTTCAATCTGCTTATTTTTTCGATATCTACGCGAAAAAATACCATATACTTCAATAGGATTTATGGTTTTACATTTATCAATTTTTTTAGCGTATGTATGGTAAAATTAAGGAAAAAAATAAGTCAAATCGGATAAGAGAATTGAGGTTACCACGTAGATATCGAAAAAATAAGCAATTTTAAAAAAAGAATCGTCTCTAAAAGATATTCGAGGCAAAAATTACGGTTATTTGAAGTTTCACTAAATGTAACGTAAAAGGGGTAGTTATGAATTTTTAAACTTGAAACGGACATAAATCATGCCTCTGATGTCCGATCGAGGCAATCTTTTTAAATTTGTTTCTTTTTTTGATATCTACGAAAAAAATACCACACACTAAGATAGGATTTACAGTTTTACAGTTTATCGATTTTTGATCATATATAGGGTAATATTATATGAAAAAAATGAAAGTTAAATCAAATAAGGAAATTGAGTTTACAACGTATATCTTAAAAAAATAAACTTTAAAAAAAAGAATCGCCTCTAAAAGATATTCGAGGCAAAAGTTACGACCATTTGAAGTTTCACCAAATATGACGTAAATGGTGTAGTTGTGAATTTTTGAACTTCAAACAGACATAAATCGTGCCTCCGATGACTAATCGAGGCAATTTTTTTTCAATCTGCTTATTTTTTTTATATATCTACGCGAAAAAACACCACACACAGAGATAAAATTTATGGTTTTTACATTTATCAACTTTTTGACCATAATATAGGGTAAAATTATAAGAAAAAAAATGAAAGTGAAGTCGGATAAGAAATTGATTTTACCACGTAGTTATAAAAAAAGTAAGCAACTTTAAAAAAAGAATCGTCTCTAAAAGATATTCGAGGCAAAAGTTACAGTTATTTGAAGTTTCACTAAATGTAATTTTTCAATTTGTTTAATTTTTCGATATCCACGCGAAAAAACACAACACACTTAGATAGGATTTACAGTTTTACTTATATCGATTTTTGACCATATATATATGGACAAAATAATTAAAAAAAATGAAAGTCAAATCGGATTAGGGGATTGAGTTTACCACGTAGATCTAAAAAAATAAGCAATTTTAAAAAAAGAATCGCCTCTAAAGGATATTCAAGGCAAAAGTTACGGTCATTTGAAGTTTCACCAGTACGTAACTTCTGAATTCATGTTGCTGTTCTTTTGAAAATAATTAATTTGAGTCGTTCTGTTGTGCATCATAAGCTTTTTTGGGGGCTGTTGGGATGTTTGGTATTTTTTCTCTTGCTTTTGTGCACATCCTGAGCATTGTTTACTTACTCTATCCTGATGGCCGATGCCTCGAGAACCCCCCCCCCGAAGTCCTCAAGGCGCACGCCCTGAGAACCCTTCCTCCTACCCCCTTACCCCCCAGAGTCCTCAGGGCGCACGCCCCGAGAACCCCCCCTCCTACCCCCTTACCCCCCGGAGTCCTCAAGGCGCACGCCCCGAGAACCCCCCCTCCTACC